GAGCCTGGTTCTGCTGAAGGTTTCTTCCTGTTAAAAGGGAGTTTTTCCTCTCCACTGTCGCTACAAGCATGCTTAGTGTGAGGGATTGCCTTTGAATCAATGAGTCGACGCAATCAGCCGGTTTTCATTAGATAGAAAACTTTAAATCAATTTCACTGGATGATCTGGTGAACTGTAAAGTCACTTGAGATTACTTGTGTTTTGAATTGGCGCTATAGAAATAATCTGAATTGAACTGAATCAATTCAGTTTGGTCTGTCAGATAAGCTGCCTGTAGCGTCTTTAAAGATCCAGCGGGTGTCTGTATCCTGTGAGACAGTATCAATACAGTTTGGCAATGTGTCGAAATGCTTCAAGATGCCTCATTAAACCAACACTAGGCTGTCAATAGTCACTACTGCCACCCTATTGTTTAGTGGAGAACTGCTTATTCTGTCAAATAATCATTAAAAAATATTCCTGTATCCAGATTATGATTTGGATTATCACTGATTATTTGGCATGAGGGAAACCTCTGATAAAAACATCGTTAAAATCCATCCATCCCCAGAAAGATAAACTCTGCTACAAACATAACCTCCAAGTCTAGGAATCGTAACTTGTAAAAAGAAACTTTATAACTGAAAATAAAAAAACATTAAAAAAAAAAAAAATTTTTTATTTTCGCCCACACCTGATCATCTGCCTCCATGTTTCATTGCATATTCTTCTTACCGTATCTCCATCCACCTTCTCTCTGCTTTTCCATTTTTCCTCCTCTATAAAAGCTCCATATTTCATATGCTCTGTCCAAGTTCTTCTACGCACTCTTACAGCCTTAAGGCTGCACCATCTTCATCTTCATCTTGGGTTTTCATGGCAGTTGGGAGCCAGCTAGCAGCATTACTGCCCATTATTGTCAGAGTTTGATCAGAGAGCGTCTATATATCTTGTTAAAACTGTCTGCACGAGGTATGAAAATAATGTTTCTTGGCTAAAAATTACAGGAACAGTAAACTGATGAATTCCTTCTTCTCTTAAGTCTTTCTCCAGATTTGACCTTTCCTCGTTGTATTTAAGTGTGAAGACATTTAAAATTGTTTCTTCCATATGACATTTGTCACATAAACCGGTTTTGTGTTTCCCAAATAAATGTAATGTACTATTTAAATTGTCTCAACATGATATTGTTCCCTGTTGTCTTGTCTTTCCTCTCATTGGAGCTGCTTTGTGTACTTTTAAACTGAAAATCACCCCTGTGGTTCTGCTTTCCATATAATCTGCCACTGTTTCCCAACTTTAATCCATATCAGCGATTTCGCTTATTTTCCCAAGTGGCGTATTAAAAATCAATATAATTTTTGCTTCATGCTTGCTTTCCTAATTTATCTGCTGCTTTTTTCCCCTTTAAACCTAAATGTCCTGGAACCATAAAAATAAAGCTGTTTTTAAAGCTTTTGATTTGTTTGTATGTTATGAACTTTTTGTTTGATTTTATTGAAATAGCACTTTGCCCATCTCTGCTCCTTTAAAATGTGCTACAGAAAGAAAGCTGATCGATTGAAAAGTTATGAACTTTTTCCTGAACAAGTGTACTCCTCTCTCTCCCCTTTTCATATGAGGTGGGGGGATTTACCATTAGGCAATACCAGGCAGGGATTGCCTTCGAGTCAATGAGTCAATGCAATCAACTGGTTTTCCTTAGAAAACTGAATCAATGTGACTGGATGATCTGGTGAACTGTAAAGTGCCTTAGGATGACGTGTTGTGAATTGGCGCTATAGAAATAATCTGAATTGAACTGAATCAATTCAGTTTAGTCTGTCAGATAAGCTGCCTGTAGCGTCTTTAAAGATCCAGCAGGTGTGGGTATCCTGTGAGACAGTATCAATACAGTTTGGCAATGTGTTGAAACTCTTCAAGATGCCTCATTAAACCAACACTAGGCTGTCAATAGTCACTACTGCCACCCTCTTGTTTAGTGCAGAACTGCTTGTTATAATAATAAACTGAATTTAATTGAATAGGCAGTTACCTTTGGCCACAAGTTCCTGGGGGCCCATCAAACTCTACAGATATGGTTAATACAATTCCTTATTAGTGCACATTTTTTTGATAAAAATCATTTTTGCTAAAATGCCATCAGAATGCTTACCTTAATTGTGTCCGCCTCCTGCTCTCCTCCATTTTGTCTGCTGTCATGATTCATGCAGCTATTATTTCATCCAAATGAAAAATGGAGATCAGATAAGCAGATCATGGCTTGTCTACAGTGAAAAGAAGGACTGGGTTATTTACTTTTACCGTCACCTTTTTGGAAACACAGGAAGAGGCAATCAGCTAAGTGAGCTTACTGCTTGGAAAAAAAAATCTTTCCTTCCTTTTGAGATAGCATGAAAAGTAATCTGAATATAGAGAGGAAAACAACAAGAAAAGGGACAAGAAAAAGGCCCAAAATTTCCTAAATCAGCCCCTGCATATGAATCCTGTCTTCTTTCATTCCTTCTTTCTCTGCTCCAGGCTCCTTTCCACCTGCTACCTACACTCCCTTCAGATGCCAGTGTAAACATCCATCCATTTTCCATCATGCTTATCCAATGCGGGAGAGAGGGCAGGGTACACTCTGGACAGGTTGCCAGTCCATCGTAGGGCAACACTGAGACAAACAGGATGAACAACCATTCACACACTCACACCTAAGGAGAAATTTGTGAAGCCAATAAACCTAACTTTTTTGACTGTGGGAGGAAGCTGGAGTACCCAGAGAGAACCCAAGCATGTTCAGGGAGAACATGCAAACTCCATGCAGAAAGACAACAGTCCGGGACTCAAACCTGGAACCTTCTTGCTGCAAGGCAGCTGTGCTATCCACTGCTCCACTGATCAGCCAGTTAAATGACAAAATACAGTTTAAACACTGTAGGTCATTTAGTCTCCCGCCACATTTCCACCTGTCTTTACTACATTGATCTCTGGCGCTCACCTGCATCGGTTTAACACGTTAGTGGTCCTCAAGACTTTCCTAACTATTTTACTGAACCACATTCACTAGAGTACCAAAGAATACGTTTAAATTGAAATCAAAATGTGAGTGAGCCTATTTCAGGGATACAGAATTATCTGGGATTTCCTTAAATTTTAAAGACAAAGTAACCTCAGTTTCTTGCGATTTGGATTTCTAAAAAACAATATTCATTATTCTGTAATTCAGCAAATATAAAATGTAGCTTGTGGACATAGGTGTTTTGCAAAGTTTAAATATTGCAGAAAAAAAAAAAGTCATATGAAGTTGTAATACAGAAATAAAACTCTAGATGGCAGAGTAGGACTGAAGATGGCTTTTTGGATGCTGCTGTAGGTTAATATTCAGCTATAAAAAAGCTGCTTTACTGAGTGCAAAGTTATTATAAAATCAAGATGATTTAAAGGAATAGGCTAGAATATCGCGTACATATATCTGGAACAGTATTCAGTGACTTTACAATATAAAAGCCAAATTTCTCTCAAAATCGTTAAGACCTCTTTAAGGGGTTCATAACTGCCATTTATATCAATTTAGTTTTACCAGATATTTACTTTTTTATTTTAGAAAAAACTAACTTTGAGACTTTGAAAGAAAAGAGTAAATAAAATTCCCTTAATCTTATCAATAATGTAATACAAAGGGGAGAAAAGGGACAGTGTTTGAAACCAAATGTCTAAAAAGTCAGTCTTTTTAATTACAGAATTAGTTATTCATTAACAGGATGTTAATAGATAATTATAGTATATATAGAGTACCTTATACGCCCAAAATGTAGGTCTGTAAATATTAAAGAAAA